TGTGATAAGTCTATTTCCTATGTTAGAATGCATGAATATATGATTATAAGTATATGAATGACATGAATTGTATGTATGCTGGATTATATGTGTTAACATGTTTTTGATTGTGAGGATATGAGAAGTATGTGCTATGTGATGTATATATATGAACATATGAGAAATTGAACTATATGACATGTTATATGTGAACCTGAGAAAACAAAGTATAAGATATGGGCTATGTAATCTTATGAGAATATGAAAAGAAGCTATGTGATTACATGTATATGTGAAAGAAGCTATGAGCTTATATGACATGTGATATGATAAAGTGAAAATGCCCATGTTATATGATACGAGAGCTATAGGTATAGTTGGCATGCCAACAGTCGAGGGTCTACGCGGTCCTTCGGGACATACAGTGATCTTTCGGGATATTTTATAGGTCATTCGGGACAAAATTTCATAGCCCCTAGTGGGACCCCTACGAGCTGTGATGACAGCATAGTGCACAACCTCAATAGACTCACATATCTACAGTTCTCACAAGTGTACATGGGCTAATAAGAGATAACATTGAATACAATGTATGTGATAAATATATGTGTTTTGTGACATGAATTATATGATATGATATGTGTGTGTTAATGATTATTGTATATGTTATAAGATATATGATATGAACATAATAGAAATGTGAACGATAATAATATGATAATGATAGATTAGAAGATAATTATATGCATGTGTGGATTTGATATATGAATGGATATATGTTTGGGTATAAGGTGATAGCAGTAATTGTTCATGTATGATTACAAGCTATAGTTTATATTTTATGTTTATTGCCTCACTAAGTCATCAACTTAGCGTGTGATTGTTTCACACGTAGGTTAACGAAGTTAGAAGAGTAAAGAGCAATGTGGAGAAAGACAGGTCAGTTCTCCTTACCAAATGTCAGATCAGAAGAAATGTGAATAATATGTATTTTAATACATAAAGTTATAGTTAGCATGTATTCAAAATAATATATTGTATAAGCTCTGAATAGTTTCATAAAGGTTTTGAATAAATTATAAGTAATAATAAATTTTAAATTACTCACTATTTTATACAAGTTAAGGTTTTTGAAAAGTCAATGTGACGCTTCGGACTCGGATCCGGGTCGGATACGGGTTGGGGGTGTTACACTCATATTGAGTTTTGGGGATTGATTATATTACATATATGTGTTTCAAATTTGCAGGTAACCTTAACCATGTCTCACTCTAAACGCCCTAGGTCATCCTCTAGTCGGTCTTCAAACCAACCTCAAAACTGAACTCCTATTCAACCTCCCAATCCAAATCCAAACCTGAACAAACTGGAAATGACCATTCTAAACTCCTATTTTAATGAACCTGATCATAGAGAAAATCTCTACCATAGGTAACATAATTTATTTCAGTCATATAAAATCTGGGAAGAGCGTATCCCCTCAATCCAAGCTATGTTTGATATGAAATTTCAATATCTTCCTACCCTTAAATCCTAGAAATTTGATAAACTCTTTCACCTCAAACCTATCGTTTATCACCAACTAGTCTGCATTTTCTATTCTAATGTGGTATGTGTTCAAAACGAGTCTCGTACTGAAACCATAGGTATTCGGTCTTATCTCTTAGGCCAATTTGTTTACATTGACACCGACACAATCGCTTCCACCTTTGGCTTAGATAACGCGGGTCTAGATAATGAAAGAGAAATTATGGCTACTCCCTATAAAGCAAAAGCTAGTGCAAGTACACTTTTAACCTATCACGAGTGTTTTCTTCACTTAATCATCTCTTGGTGGTTTAGACCATCCGGAGGTAAATTTTCTACGCTTATAGTACTAGACCTTTGGTGGATACATTGTATCCAAAATAAAAAGAAAATAAATCTGTCACAAATCATCTTTGGTGAGCTAGTAGAAACCGTGAACAATGTACCATCTAAATATGTTGAAACCTTAGTTTACGGTTGTTTTCTTAGCAACTTGTTTATCAAATCCAACCTTAGAGTCACGCTTGATGTTCCCATCCCTCTCAAGAACACAATAAATTACACATCCTTAAAGAAATCGGGATGGTCCGGGGACAAGGATCAATGGGTTCGATCCACCGAGAAAACACCGAGAGCTAGCTCTTCACGAGCTCCTCCAGCACCGGCAGCGAACGATGATCCAAAGCTTGAACAACTCATGTGCTATATAGATGATCACGTACCCGAAGACGAGCCGGCACAACAAGAGAGTCAGATGCCTCCATACTTCCGATCGTTTATGGAGAATCTTGACATGAGGTTTGCATCAATCGGGTCCCATTTAACTACTAACAACGAAGCGATGAATCATCGATTCGATGCTATGGACGAAAGGGTCGACGTGCTAACACGTGATGTGGCCAATATATGGGCACATTTATCACCTCCTGATCCACCGATGGACGATTAGACCGTTCTTGCTTAGTTTTGGTTATTGAACTTAGAACTTATTATTATTGTTAAAACATTTTGGATGTTTTTGGATTGATATATTTTGGATGTTTGAATGTTTGAATTTAATATTAGGTTTGAACTTGAATGCTTATATATATATTTGTTTTGATTGTTTGAACTTGGTTTGATTAATTTATATTGATTTTATTAATTTTTGCATTATTTTAGAAATAATATGACCAATTACCATTACGCATTATTTATGAATATTGATTATGAACTAATGGCTAAACCTTTCTCTTGATTGTGATCTTAGCAGCTTAAGCTTTATCTAAATATCAATTGGCTAATTTTTTATAATCTTGTTTAAAAACGTTTTATAGTCTTTTTGATTTAACAAAAAGGGGGAGAATATAGTAAGGGGGAGTTAGGGGAGTACTTTTCAAAATTGAGTTCAAAAATGAATTTCAAAGAAAAATCATAAAATTACTAAAATGTTTTGTTATATCAAAAATGGAGAGATTGTTGAAAATATTTTGATGTTTCGATATAAAAAAGTGGGTGTTATTGAATTTTAATATTTTATAATCATTTTTAAAGTATATTCGAATAAATTATTCGAATATCAAAATAATATTCCAAGTTTTTCAAATGTCAATTTCAATCCTTACGTAAGTGTAAAATTGTGTATGGGTCTTAAAATATTTTTCAAACAATTTTTACAAAGTATTTCGAACCATAATCGGGCCAAAAATAATTTTTATTAAGGGATGTACCGATACACTCTTGGATGTATCGTTACATACCAAACATCGAATGCATTTTGTGTATCGATACACAGCTAATGCATCGATACACTCCTGGCTCTGAGAAACATCGAATGTAATTAGTGTACCGATATATTAGGTCAACCAACAGTCGAAATATTTGAATTTTAGACTGAGTGTACCGATACACCTACACTCCCAACTGAATTTTTAAATGATAATTACACCATAATGGCTCTATTGACTTCACCAATGATCCCCAATGTTCAGAAGTGATCCAAGGTGTATTTAAACAAGCTCAGCAGCCATTGATCAACAATAAGAAACGAGAATTGCTAGAGAATCAAAGAGAAAACATCAAACCTCAAGTTTGAGCACTTTCAAGCCTATTTCATTCAATATTCATTTTTTGCTTTCAAGAACACTACTTGTACTCAATTATATTCATTCTTGAGTGTTGTTTCTTTGTTCTAGAATTGTACAAACATTTTACCTTGTAAGGTTTTTCTGAAAGTTTACGACATTTGTATTTTTCTCTTTGGGAGAGAGTGTTCTCAAGAATGTGGGGTATAATTCCTGAGGGAATTGTAAGGTTACTCTTTGTCCTCAAAAGAGAAAACAAATTAGTGAATTTTTTAGAAAATACTTAGTGTGGATAGCTAAGGTAGTGGACGTAGACTTTGGTTGAGAAAATCGAACCACTCTAAATTGCTGTGCAAATATTTTCTATTTTCTGCAAAAGCTTCCACCAAAATTTTAAATGTCAATTCACCCCCTCTTGGCCAATTCGTCGATCGATTAACTCAACATGTAACATTTTCAGTAAACATATAATATTTTGAGGGCTATCTATGAGATTATTCCATTTTTATTATAATCACAAATCCCTACCTTTATTCTAACATTCAGACGCGCCTCCCCTATTTATTTTCCTTCTTCCTTCGTTTTCCCTTCTTCCTTTGTTGTTTCACGAACGCTGTCGCTCATCCACAATCGTTGCTTCGCCCCGTTCTTATTGATCTAAGGTAAGTAGGTCACCATTCATCGTTCAAAAGCTTCCATGTTGTGACCCCAACCCTTGTCGTCGACTGGCTCTCATCCATTGCCGTCGTGGGTCGTGTTGCAGTCAAAATTACCCCTAAGGACGTCCCCGAAACATCCCAGATAAGCTTTGACCGTCCCCCAATAGAACTAAATATAGAAGATAACTTAAGTGAATACCATGAGCTTCAATGGATTTTTGTTCATCGGTTTCTAAATATTTTCTAAAAATATGTAGAATTTTAAATTTCAACTAGATTCTATTTGATAAACGACTAAAAACTAAATTAGTTCAAAATTAAAATTTTAAATGAATTAATATTTTTAAATACATTTGATAATTTAAAATAAAAATAATTTGATAAAAAAAAGTTAATAAAAAGTATTTATCTAAAATATAGATAAACACCTATTTATCAAACAATATCTAATTTAAATATAAAAATAATTATTTTAAATTATAAAAATGAAAATTATATAAATAAGATTTGATAAGAATTATTGTGATTCTTTAAACATAAAGGATTAGGAAAAGTCCACATAACACCATAAGAGGTGGGACCCCAAACGTGTCAGCGACTCAAATCATGACTCCACCGAGTTTGCAAAGAGTCACTTGCCTCCAAAACGGAAGATTCCTTAGAATATTCCGTTCTAACCTGTTCTTCACTCGAAACTCGGATAAAGCCACCCCTCTTTCCTATATAAATCAATCTATCTCCTTCCACAATTTCAAAATTCTCTTAAAGAGCGATTACCACTAAAAAAAATCATGATTTATTCCTCTATCTCTTAATCAGAGCAAGAACATCTCTTACACAAATTCGATATCTTTAAGGTCCAAGACAGAGACAAACGTGGTCGTAAAGTTCTTCTCATCATCGGTAAATACTTTCCTGGTAAAGAAACAAGTATATTGTGTGTTTTGTTTTGTGTTTTTTTTTTGGGAAATCGATTCTCTGTATGTTAAGCTAATTCGGCTTTTTTTGTTCCTTTTTAAATATTGATAGCCCTGGGTCGTGGGTTGGTGCAGTCAAAATTACCCTGGGGACGTCCCCGGATAAGTTTTGATCGTCCCCCAATTCGATCAGCCGTATCCTGTCACCGTGGCACGTCTCTGATACGTACCCCAATCGTTCTCGAATCGTCCCCGTACAAAAAACATATCGGGTACTTAAAACGGGCCTCTTTTGTGTCCCCGTGCTTCTTAGATTTTCCAAATCCAACAACACCGAGATGGAGAATGTCAGCTTAGAATAACTTACTGCGAAATTTATGCATATTTTCATTTTTGATTTGTAATTGAGGTGTATTTGTATTATGGGTATAGTACATAAATAATTTCGATTATAGAGTGTTGTTTTATTGAATTCATCGACTATTAAAAATTATAAAATAGTCTCTCGACTATAGAGTTTTGTTGAGTCATAACTATTAATAGTTACAAAATAGTCACTCGACTATTCATATATTCTAAACTCGTCCTTTTCGATTAAAAATTGGCGACCGTCTGAACTGAATGTTAACCTACTAATTGAGATATATTATAATAAAATCATATTTTAATAATGTTTAGTGACACCATCGTTGCTTTCAAGCAGTTGCTTGATGGCATAATATTTCAAGTATTGACTCAACGACATAATATAAACGGAGAGTTAATTCAAAAAATATAACTTAAATAGTTTTGGAATTAGATTTTATCATATCTCAGTTAATATGTTAACTTTCAACTCAGATAACCGTCAATTTTTTAACGGAAAAGGACAACCTTAAAATATATGAATAGTCTAATGATCATTTTGTAACTTTTAATAATCTAAGAATTCAACAAAGCAACACCCTATTATTTAAGTATCATTTATGTACTTTAAGCTAGTAAAAAAATAACGATAATTACAGTACACTGTGCCGATATACAAACTTTCATTTTTTTCTAAAAGCCATGTTCCGCTATATATAACTTTGCTTCGATTAAAATAGAAGTAATGTAATAAAAAGGATGGCGAAGCAACAATTAAGGGAATTTGGTCTAGTGGTATGATTCTCGCTTAGGGTGTGAGAGGTTCCGAGTTTAATTCTCTGAATGCCCCGTTTTGTGATCCATTTTTCATTTGGTTCTTGTTTCGTTCAATGACTGTTACATTCTTTAAAAACAGTTTATTTATTATTTATGCTGATTTGATTTAGAGTTGAGTATTATTTAAAAAAAGACATAATACAAATAAATATCCCTAACGTTTGATCATATATATAATTTTGCCCGTATTATTATTTTTTTGGAATATTTGACCTCCCCACGTTTTATTTTAGGTCAAAAAGTACCCTCGTTGGATGAAGATCGTTAGTCAACTGAAAGTCAACGCCTGAAGCTAACTCGGCAAGAACATGTGGAGGGAGATGCTGACGTAACACGTCCATATCATAATAGACGATTATGTGACAGAACCACGTAGACTAAATACTGACGTGGTATGTACACGTGTGATATCATGTCAGTAATTTTTTAAAAAAATTAATTAATAATAAATAATATTTTTTTACTAAATTAATAACTACTAATCATATGTTGCCACGTGACATATGTATTTTTTATTAAATTAAGAAAAAAAGGCACTCCACAAAATTTTGCAATCAATAAGATTTGAACCTAAGTCTAATGGATGGAAGGCTTGATGCCTAACCACCAGGCCAGTCACTAGTTGTTTAATTTTAGTCTAATAACATTATTTAAGGTATATTATAGCCAATAAAACTCATGATATCTGGATATCAACTCAACTCCAACTCACCTCAACACACCCACTTTCCAGTTTCAACAACTTTTAATCTCACCCGAGTTCACCGCTTCGATCACGACACTCGAAAGCTCAACTTCCAATGCAAAACGAACACCGTGAGAGATTACCAAAGCTTCAATAAGACATGCAGAACGTGGCACAGAAACTTGGAACGCTCGACCTGCCAGAACTATGTCGAAGTACCATGCTAATAACCGGCGGAGTAGGTGTACGTGGACAACACCTGTATGAGCAAGTCGACGTCTGACAGACAAAGCTTCACGATCGAGTGACTCTCCAACCAAATATACACACTTGAGGAAGTGCGTGTAGTCGCGATATGAAGAGCCACAATCGTGATGTCTGTAGCGATGCCGATGAATGTAGAACCAACCATTTATAACTGGTCTCACTGAATAGGAACCGGAAAAGTGTCCACTCCAAATAAGCTCATCAAAATGGACGGAGGAGATTAAGCAATGCAAAATCTCATTTGTATCGGAGTTTCAACACACTCATCACCATGCATGTCAATGTCTTCAACACGTTGATGATGATCCGCATGCAAAAGCTTACCCTTCACCTTCTATAAATAAATCATCACTTTTCGTTCCATTATGATCATGCACTGAAAAACACAGCTCAAAATAGTATAGTATAGCCATGGTGACGAGTAGGTCTTTTCTTGTAGTTTTGCTCTTTTCTCTCGTGCTTTCTTTCGGCTTCCTTTGCTCCGCCGATGATCTTTCCGGCAAAAGATTCGAGGAGGATCCAGCTCAGGAGAGGTTTCAGGACTGCCAGAGGCGATGCCAATGGGAGACTCGTGGAGAAAGGGAGCAAGATCAGTGCGAACAACGATGTGAAAGGCAGTTTAAGCATGAACAAAGGGAGCAAGAAGAGGAGGAACGGTGGAGCCACCGTGATCCAAATCTTGAAGATCCTCGGATGAGGTTCGACGAGTGCCGGGAATGGTGCTATCAGTAAGGAAAAAGGCAGCAGCCACAATGCCAGCAACAATGCCGGAGAGAATTCCAGGAACTCCAGGAATGTCAACAGAGTTGCTAGCAAGAAGAACAAAGGCCTGAAATGAAGCAACAGTGTTTGAGACAATGCCGGGAGAAGCTCGATGAACAGCCATTGAGAAAAGGAGGTTAGGCGTCAATATACCTTAAATAATTTTATTAGCCTAATGTTAACAACTAAGTGATTTAGCTTGGTCGTTAGGTGTTAAGCCTTCCATCCCTAAGACCCAGGTTTAAATCCCATGAGTTTCAAAATTTTGTGGAGGTTTAATCCCTCCTTTCTTAATTTAATAATAAATTCATGTGCCACATGGTAACATATTGGTTTATATTAATATAGTAAAAAATAATTATTTATTATTAATTTTTTAAAAAAAATTGTTGATGTGGCATCACACGTATACATGCCCATCAACATTTAGTATATGTGGATCTGCCACATCATCGTCTACTATGATATAGACATGCCACGTCAGCATTTCCCTCCACATGTTCTTGCTGAGTTAGCTTCAGGCGTTGACCGTCAGTTGACTAACGGTTTTCATCCAACGAGTGTGCTTTTTGACCCAAAATGAAACTTGGGGAGGTCAAATGTTTCAAAAAAAACAATACGGGCAAAATTGCATATATGGTCAAATGTTAGGGGTATTTGTTTACATTATGCCTTTAAAAAAATGTGAGTAATCCGATCTCACTCTACAACTATACTTTTATTTTAAAATAATCAAACAGAAAAAGGATCAAAATGGTTTATTATCAACAAATTTTAAGACTTCGTTGCTTTAATTTTATATATTTTTTTTAAAAAAATACTCATAATTTTAAAAAATATGGGTGGGAGATATTACCCTTTAAAGATTCTTTAAATATATATATATATATATACTTTGAGAGAGCTAATGGTGTAGTCGAAGGCAATGGCGGACCTATGTAGCTTAAGAGGTAGCAGTTGCATATTCATTTTCTTTAAAAAAAATGTCAACACTTAATATATTATATCAAGACTTAAAAATTTTGCACATCTTTTCTTTTATTCTTCTGCATACCTTTTTTTTAAAAATTTGTGCTCAAATAACGTGAATAGGAAGTTAATATTAAGTGTCAACCTTTTATTCTATATTTTTAAATTAAAAAACTATTGATTAAAATAATATATATCATTTTTAACCATTCATTTCACATATTATTAAAGTTTCTGTTTTGTGTATTATTTCAAACCTACACAGGCTCTAACTCCACTGATACTTAACTGTCGGTTTCTTGTTTGAGCCTAAACCAATGAATATTATAATATTTATTTTAGATCCCCATTTTTTAATTTTTAGGTCCATCATTGGTTGAAGGTCAGATGAGATTGAAGAGATAAGAAAAGAGATTGAACTGAGCCATAGCTTGTCTGAGGAACATTTCAACTCCACTAACAATGATTGCCTCGGCTCCTTTCAATAATCTTGTTTTTCTAGGTGTATAACCCTCCAAAGTTTCCTGGAAAAAAGAAAGCAAATAATTTCAACAAGATTGAACTGTGTTGCTCAGAAAAGATTTTGAATTTTATTTCAGTAGTGATGGAAGTAGGAGACCTCGGCCACCCGAATCGGGTGATCGTATTTGGATGGATGCATTCCGAGCATCTGTGATCATATACTCAAGGCAACTTTCATAATTACTACTATAATGACAACTCTCTAAGGAAACGTTCGTGTAGCTTTCAAATCCAAAAGCGGATGCAACTCATCAAGCATTAGACTAATATCTGCCAATGATGCATCAAGAGAGAAACTATCAACAGCATCAGAATCAAAATCTAAAAGTGCATGACAACTTCTGCAAATCGACAGGAGATGATAACTCCGACCTCCACTGCTACAATGACCTTATTTTCCTAATTAATTCAAAATCATCCTCATTTCTAATTTTTTAAGAGAGTTAATTCTCTACTTTTACTGTTATTGTCATTCATATTGTGTAATAATTAGTTTGTCGGTATACTTATTGAGGTGTATATATATTTTTCATTAATTTCAAAAATAATAATAATGAAAAATAAAAAAATACGTGGAAAACCGGTTCATGAGATTAAATTTAATTTATAATTTTACTTAAGTATACATATGGTACTTGAATTAGACACATTCTCTAAAATTGGTATTTAATTTATAGTTTATGAGTTTATGCATTACTTAATCTAGATTAATCGATCAATAGATCAAATACTAATATTTATATAAAAGGATAAACTATACCAAATACAATTGAACTTTAGCCGTTGTATTGTTTATACCATTGAAATTTCAATTTTGTCAATTATAACACTGAATTTTGATTTTTGTTTCAATTATACCACTAAGTCGTTAAATCGTTAATGATACAATAATATGGTTGACTCTGCAAGCATGGATGCTACATAGAAATGACATCATTTTAATAGGAAAAATTGAGGAAAATCACAAATGCACCTGAAAGAGTTTTGGTTTTTGGTTTGGAGTTTATGGTTTATTGGTTAGGATTTTGAGAGTTTGAGGTTTAGTGATTTATGAGATTAGGGTTTTAGATTGTTGGTGTTTAGGGTTAGATTTAAGGTTTAGTGATTTTGAGGGTTTTGGGTTTTACATTTAGTGGTTTTGGGGATTTTGGAGTTTAAGGTTTATGGTTTTAGAATTTTAGAATTCGGGATTTATGGTTTATGGTTTATTAGTTTTAAAGTATTTGAGTTTTGGATTATCAATTTTGGAGTTTTGGGTTATCAGTTTTGGTTTTGGGTTTTGGGGTTTAGAATTTTAAGGTTTGGGGTATATTAGTTTAGGGTTTATGATTGTAAAGTTTGGAGTTTGAGTTCTTTTGGTTTGAGATTTAGAGTTTTAAGATTTTAGGGTTTAGAGTTTGGGTTTCAAGTTTCATGTTTAACGGTTTAGAGATATAAAAATATAAATCACAAAAATCTTGTAGAGAGGAAGAGAATAGATTAATGCAGTTGGAAATTACAATTGCTTTGTTTCATCACTTACAATCTTTTCATATGAATAGTTACATATTTTCATAAGAACAATTACATCCATTTATATGAATAGCCATGCCTTTTCATATGAATAATTACACCTAGTCATATGAAAAAAATACACATATTCACATGAATAATTCTACCTCTTAAAATTATAATATCCAACACTTAGACTTGATGGTGATCACATAACCATTAGGTAACTCGCAACTCTTTTCGACATTTGAATTGGTCTTGGTAGTTTCTAATTCCCGCTCAAAGTCAAGGGAAATGTAAGCTAACTTTTCTTCATGTCTTTCACAATTTCCCGTTCAGCAGTGGTGGTGACTTCACTGTCGTTGGTTATGACAAGATGGTTACGCCGTCGTTGGTTATGATAAGATGGTTACTCTGTCGTTGATTATGATGACTTCGATGTTGGTGGTTGAAATCATTTTTCCCAATCCTTTAGGACCTAAGTTGGTTCAAATGGTGTCGACGACAGCTCGAGCAGCTTTGATGTTGGCTTGACAGATGTTTTCTTTGTGTTTGTTGTTAACGTAAGACTCCATTTTAGAAGAGTGCGACTAATCTACCGTTACGAATGCCATTTCTAGTTTTTTGTCTTGGTGGTTGGAATTAATTCAGTGGATCGAAGGTGTTGGGAAAGAAAATAAAGAGTTTTGAAGAGTGAGATCGAAAGAGTCAAGAAAGGCAAAATGTGACACATCAGCCGATCGAGTGGGATCGAAAGAGAGCTTTGGTCAAATAAGTCAATCTAACGTGCCACATCAGTCTTTCGTTATTGGTAACGATAGCCAATGTAATTTATTATAGAACGATAAAGTTAATAATAGTTGTCACTTTTGAAACTTTAGGGCTAAAAAAGAAATTTATTCATACTTTAATGACCATTTATATAATTTACCCAAAGTTTGATTATAACCCAAATGTTCATACTTTAATGACATTTATATAATTTACCCTAACTTTTATTATAAACCAAATGGGCCACATATTTCATTCAGTCAAATCAGATTCTTTTTACGATCAAATTTTGGATTTTTAAAGCCTTCTCTTATCTTTACATTGTAAACTTATATTTAATTTTTTGAAAATAAGAATTTATCTTTAATATAATGTTTAAATTATCTAAAATTTTACTATAAATTAAAGGATATTGTACCACACTTAAAGTTACATACTTTTCAATATAACAATAATAACCATATTATCTAGTTATATTCCATAGATTAAAAGTAAGAAAAATAATTTTACCTTAATAAAAGCAAAGTAATTATTAACATCAATGAAGACTTACTATAATATAATATAATGGGATTTTAAGTTTCTACCCACCAAGCAAAATATTCACCTAATTAATGCTAGTGCTAGTGTATGCTTATATAAAAACAGGCCAGGGATCATAACCAGGAGACCAAGATAGAGAAGAGGGTGAAGCAGGAGCAGAACGTGACTGTGAAGAAGATGAACAAGAAGATGAATTGGAGGAAACACCATTGTTGTGCGATGGGTTCCTTATCATCCAAGGCACCACATCTTCAAGCAAACCTTGTTGCCCAAACCCTGTTTCCAATGATATTTCTTGAGGGGAAGTGCTTGGCAGTAGAGGCTCACTGTTGTTGATATCATTTGCTGCAGTTTGTGACGCTCCATGAGCCTGTGACTCGGATTCCGAATCAGCCTTCTTTGGTTTCTTGATCGGTGCATTATCATGGAAAGGGAAATATGGCTGGACGAAGTGTAGATGAAGGCCTTCGTAGGTGATGATTAGTGTATCTGGGTCGTCTCTCGACTTCTCCACCTGTTTTTTGGCACTGCATCTTGGGTTGGTGCATTTGTAGTAGCTCCTGTTTCATTCCAATTCAAATGAAAAACTACATACATTCGGAAACTTTTTCTATTGCTTTATGTTATCTGAGGAAGCTGACACATTCGGAAACTTTAGGACTAATATAAAATATTAATTATAATCGGAGATGTTTAATGCAATTAACTTAAAAGAAAAAAAATAAGGTATAATGTCAAAAATGTTCCTACCATTTGACTAAATAGTCACTTGGCTCCTATTCTTTTTTTGAGCTTTTTGTCCCCCAATGTTTTATTTTGAGGCAAAACAACCCCTCCGTAGATGGAAACCGTTAGTCAACAAACGGTAAACATTCTAAAATAGGGGTTGTTTTGCCCTAAAATGAAATATTGGAGGCCAAAATGTTTCAAAAGAAAAGAATAAGGTACAATGTGAGTATTTGATCAACCGTTAGGAGTATTTTTATCCTAAAATGAAACATTGTGGGGGAAAAATATTAAAAAAGAATATTAATCAAAATGATTATTTAGTGAAACGCTATGGACATTTTTTATAGACATAATGTCAAAATTAGCCCCCAATCTTTACCAAATGATCATTTTGGCCCATATTCTTTTTTGGAGTATTTTGGTCCCTAATGTTTTATTTTGGGATAAAAAGGCTCCATGAAAATTGTTAGTTAACAAACGTTTAGTGCTCCAAAATGAGGCATTTTACCTTAAAATGAAACATTGAGAGCCAAAATGCACCAGAAAAAAGAATAAGGGTCAAAGTGATTGTTCAGTCAAATATTAAGGGCATTTTTGTCCTAAAATGAAATGTTGGGGTTAAAATGTTAAAAAAAGAATAGAGGACAAAATGATGGTGGTTAATTTTGGCCTTATATCTTTTTGATATTATAGCAAAATTAAAGATGGTGAGTGGTGACGATTGAGAGAGAGGCAAAAGATAGTCACCTAGGATATGGGCTGTTTTTGATGGATTTTTGCCCATATTTCCTCCATTTATAGCCATCATCAGCCATGCCATTGCCGCAGCTTTTGATCTTTAGAGTATACTTATTCTCCATCTTACTCAAATTTCTTTCCAGCATTGAATCAATCCTGCCAAAAAGAAGAAAACATATCATTACTTCAATATCATATCAAATATTAATCATTTGCTCAAAAAAAGAACCAGAGGGAAACCAAATTAACCTGGTTTGTTCTTGTACTTGGGGTACATCCTTCCAGTTCGACACTGACAAAGAATTCTCGATATCTTGAATCCTTGGCCCTGAATACACATTGGATGACATTGTCCCTTGAGATAGAACAAAGAAAGGAGACTCGTCATCGAGAAGCTCTCTCACGAGTCCGTCGTCAGAGCTGTCGTCCTTCTGATCTTTCTCCATTAGAGTACTCTCCAAGATATAACTAAATCAAGCCGTGCATTAAAACTAAGTTGAACTAAAATAAATACCCGGGTATTGGAAGAAGAAACCCAGTGGGACAATGGATTAATTAACTCACCAGTAAGTACAAAATTTATGGTGAAAAGTGGAGCAGATGAACAAAGGAAATTGATAGGATTAGGGTTTTGTTTATGAGGATAAGTTGATGGGCTGTTGACTTTGGTAACAATATATAGCACACCTATTTCCTTGGTTGGCATTGATGTACAGAGGATGCTAGCGGTACGGTTGTTGTTTTTGAAAATGTCAAATTCGCATATATTTTAAATATTTTATTTATATTTTTTATTGATATTATATTTTTTGTCTCTCTAAAATTTTATAAATTTGTCTCATAATATAAAATTATGTATTCATTCGTGTTGATCGGGAAAATGCATAATCAATCATTAGCATGTAAAAATGGAAGAAGTAAAGGGGATATTTCATGCTTGTAGCTGCCATAGATAGTATGGTCCAACCAATAATTTAGGTTGATTGTATATAAACCGGCCGGATTTTGTCTTGTTACGTTGTTTTCATGGGATCGATGCATCTAATGGGGACCCTAGTTGCAACCAAAGCAAGGGTCAACCCTAAAGAATGATTAGAAAAATATACCCCTACGATTACTTTAGTCTTAACTTTATATCCTTTACCCAAATCATTGAAGTCTTTGGGCAGTTGAGCATAATCATTTTGCATAATCATTAACTAAAACAAGACTTTAGGTAGTGACCATAAATTCTTTTCTCAATTATTACCAAAATCAGCTATACCGTTATAGTCATAATAATGTAAACAAAATAATAATGAATGTAAAATAACAGTAAAATAAAGAACATTAAGATTTAACGTAAATAATTCTTTTGAAAAAATCACAAGTAAAAGGGATAAATTCATTATGTCGAATAAGAGTGAAACAAGATTTATGTCTAAACACGATTTAGGATTTAATCAACTTACTTTTAAACCATAATTCCTATTATCTATTTATAAGAATAATTTTATGGTTTACAAAGGAAACTTGTATAGAAATAAATAAAATCAAACTGAGTTTCCTATTCTTCACACGAGCCTAAAAGGGAAAAAAAGCTCTACACGAATTGGACTCTCCATATGGCACTATATATCCTCCTTTTAACCTCACTACAGTAAAACTGTACATTTGCGGCGTTGTTTTTTACTTATAGCGGCGTTTTTAAGCGCTGCAAAAAATACCTGCGGCGCTATGACAAACGCCGCAAAAAGCGCCGCTGAAAATAGCGTCGCTAAAGTTTGTGACGTTTGGTAACAAAAAACGCCGCAATAGGTGTTGATATTTAGCGGCATTTTTCCAACAAACGCCGCAATAGGTGTTGAGATTTAGCGGAGTTTTTCTCACAAACGCCGCAATAGGTGTTGAGATTTAGCGGCGTTTTTCCCACAAACGCCGCAATAGGTCTTGAGATTTAGCGGCGTTTTTCTCACAAACACCGCAAAAGATCTGGTATATAGCGGCATTTTTTAGAACAAACGCCGCAAAAGGTCATATCTATAGCGACGTTTTAAGATACAAACGCCGCTAATTACCTCTCTATAGCTAAAAGAAATTGATTTTGCAAATTAAAACTAATTTGTCAAATGTTGTTTTCTACTCTTTTATTACCCAAATTTAACCTGTAGCATTTTCCAATAAACTTGACATCCATAACAACAAACTTAAAATCCATAACAAGAAAAATGAAATCCATAATAATAAATCAAAGTTTACATTAACGTAAAATATAATGTAGTTCAACATTATTAACTATAATAAACAATAATATCTAAAATATTTTGCTTCTAATCTTACACATTCTTTAAAACTCTTCGTCACAATGAGGCACTTAAATTCAAAGAGATAAATCCAGTTTATATGGGAAAACAATGATGCAGAGCTAGTATCGTCCTGTCATTTCTTGCACAGATATTTTGCTTCATGAGGTCTTACTCCAATTGGCATGCCACTTGAAAAGGCCCCATCCATGGCATTGCATAACTTGGAACTAGATCTTACCAAGTTCAAGGATTGGTGGAGCAAATTTCAAAGCTTGAAATGCCAGCTGATATTAAATAATGAAAAATTAGAATCTTGAGAGCAAACATAACTTGGTAAAGAAGAGGGCAAAGTGACCCAAATTCAGTAAGATTTTCTAATTGTTGATGTGCCATTGGTCCATTGCGTTAATTTACTTTATGCAAATAAAATATAGGAACTTGACTATCCATTCAACCTTCCGTTTACAAAATGACTTTCAGAGTATTGCTCCTGACCGTTTCGGAAAGATTCCAAGTCATTGCCAGAGTTGTCTAACCGACGCTCATAAAATTAACTTGAAATGCCTTCTTTACAATAGATCCCTATATTAGTCAAAAGATGGCAGACACCCTACATTACATGACAAGGTTAGTGCCATAAATATAATCTATGCTTAAACAAAAGCCCATCATACTCTACATTCAACCTTCCGTTTACACCTAAAGTGAATCAAAATTAGCTGAAAAAAAATTATAGATACTTAAAAGAAAAGTACAAAACAAGGGCTTCTAACATTTAAGTATAACATAAGTGAGGAATGTAACTAAATTCCAGTTGAACATCAGCAGTAGAATGTTAATTAAATTCCACTTGAACAGCAGAAGTAGAATGTTGATTAAATTCCCAACCGTTCAATTCTTTACTAAGAATATGCATCCAACTATCAATATCAGGATATGGAATGATAGGTATGTAATTCATTTCATTTGACCAGAAGTGAATATAATGTTAATTAAATTACCAAATTCTTCTATAAACATATGCATCCAAACATCAATATCAAGGTAAAGAATGGCAGATTTATACTTCAATTCAATGTCCAACATGAAGCCCATATGGTGATGATACCAACAATAATGCTCTATCTCTATAATGATTCTTTCCCATAATTTAATGTACATCTTAAGCATATCAAACAAACGATTATTCCAACAAAAGCATATAAATACAATTCAATACATGATATTTATAGTTTACGAGGCAATAAATAAATACCTCAAAAGTCAGGAGGTTGAAAGCATGTATTTAACGGCGAAGAAACATCCCCAGGTTACTGTTTGGGTCCAAAATAACCTGATCATCGTCCATAACTCCTGAATCAACCCCTCCAAGTGTTTCTACCAAAAAAACAATAATGACAGGGGAAATGAAGATGCTAAAGTGAGTAAAACAACAAACAAATAAATAAAAAGCTAATCTCGCAACTCATTAAAGAAATTGAACAGATCATCAGGCGATGATAAAGATGGTAATCGACTAGTTACATGATCAGTTAACCAATCATCCATTAAACCACCAATCTCTCTCAATTGGATAATGAGCTGATCTAATTTCAACTCCAACATGTTATCACATGACTGCAATACGCAAACACTCATCAATTTTAGTCATAGAAAAATGATTACCAGAATAAGTCCAATAATGTTTTTAGGGTGCTCATAATAAACTGGAACTCTGCTATGCCCTTTCTCCAAAATTAAACTCATCAATTCCCTGCCCATAGCAAGCATGTAATGGTAGTTTATAAAATCAAATGAAAGTTGAAGTAGATATTCAAATGCCATCTTTCTTGGTAATTTACAGAAAACCATACCTGTCAAGCTTGGCATTAATATCAATTGCAAATGTTTCAGATATGGGAGTCATGGCATCTTTAGCTTTTTTCTCAGTGAGCTCAAGTGCTCCAGCTATAATTGTTGTCTCATCATGGGTCAGCTCTCCACCTTTGCCAGCCTAATAAAGGTCCAACAAAAGGATCGTAAATCTGAAAGTTATGATGAATGAAAGAAGGCATTGCACTTCAAAAGGCAAAGACACATCAAGAATTTTACAATTCAAAATGAGAGAAGTTAGAAAGTACAACAGTGATTAATTAATGGTCAAAAACAAATATTGATTTGATAAACAAAAACAACCAAGGTAATAACTAGTTATAGAAACAAGCAAATTAAACAACTATAGGGAAATGCTTGGATGCAAACCTCATTTCCATGCAAATCTACTAGGGTTTTCAACTCGGCTCTTCGAAAAAGTGCTATATGTCCATGACCCAACAGAAAGTCTAACAGCTGGAAAAAAAACAGAGAAGGTCAGCCACAAGAGCAATCTACAGGAATTACATGCTTGGTTGTCTTTCTCACTATCATAAAAGCATTACTAGCAACGTTCATCACCTTGCTTATTGGGTAGGCAACAGGAAAACATATCCAAACAAGAACTCGAACGAATGGAGCTACCTTTACACCAATTGCCAAACCATATCGAGAACAAACAGATTGTGGTATTATCTGCACAAACAGTTAAATTGCAATTAGGATTTAGGGCATTCAAAGAACTTGATTCCTTTTTTAACAGCTATAAGTAATTTCACTTTCTAAGAGCAAGTCTAAAGCCATAATGGTCGGAAAACAATTTTATAAACCAACGATTGCAACCTTATGGGAAAAAGCTGCTCAGCCAAAAGTTTAGCAAATAATATCCGAGTAACATATCAAAATTTTCATATCACAACTAATCAGTGTTTAACAAGGATTTCTAGCTCTACCGAGTTAAAAAACGCTTCAAATAAAATAAGCCAAGGTGGATACTCACCTCACCGAACAGAAGAATCAAGGTCACTGAAATCAAGATAGCACCCCAAGCTGTGTTGAGAAACGGAGGAGAAAGGGAAAGAGACGGAGATTTGAGGAGAAGAAGCATAACTATGAACCAAAATGCACACTGAAACTTTGTGTGGAGTTATGGAAAAGGCACCCGGTGCTCTCACTGCCCCTGCCATTTCTAATAGACTTCCACAAAATCTATGATTCTGCCTGAGATACCAATCCATATTGCTCAAAATCAGCAACGCATTTCAAAAAATGCTAAACAAACTCTTCCTCCGTGCTGCCAGCGTCTCAAAGTCTAAGCAGCGCCGTCTGAACCCACGATGCAAATTAGAATCAGGCTGTGCACAAACATATAAAAGCATCATCAGCAAAAGCATATCAAGATAAATGACTTTCATGATAATTTTCTGCATAAACAGCTAAACAAACTCGTCAAACTGAAACTAGTAAAAGAACAAACATGTTTAGAGTTTTCTACTTTTCTGCAACTCTTTCAAATATACATCATTTTTTACCTGAATTGAATATGGGGTGGACATGCGATTTTCCATATAATCAGTCAGACTGCCGGACACGAAGTTTGTCACATCATTATCCTCCAAACTTTCATTGAAATGATTTATTTCGCCGAGCCCACCAGTTTCTTCAGTTTGAACTTGATAATCACCGATATCATCTTGTGGGAAGTGCGAAACAAGAGTAGAACAAAATGTAGTACTAGGGTCCAATGATTTCTGAATTACACCCCTAAAAGCCTCAGAATCATTGGGGGAACTAAAAATCAATAGGTCAGATGTCTCAGGAATCAAACTCTCCCACTCAGATCCAATAGTTTCCCTTTTTCGCTCAATCTGGAAAGTGGCCGCTACTTCCACGCCATCAGATAAACCTTTTTTAGAGGACTCTTGAACTTCCTCTAATAAACCTTTTTGAGAGGCCTCTTGAACGAACGGAACAATTGCGCGAGATTTGAAGGTTGATTGAGAGACGCAATTCATTTCGATTACACAAGGTGTTGGATCACAGCCAGGGCTACCGCAATCATATTTTAAGGTCTGTGGCAGCTCGATTGCAATCCTTGATGGTTCATTATCCAGATCAAAAGAAACCTCACCCAGGGAAACTCCTGGATCAAAATTCTCCTGGACATCCACATCCGCCTCCTCGATCGTACTCACTTTAGTCCCATCTACAGAAGACAACTTGGGTTTCGATGGATCTGTAGAGCTATACCAACAAGCAAATAAAAAAGAAAAAAAAGATTATAAGGCATGAAACTAAACAAAATCAAGAATGTATAATACTAGTTCATTACCATTTAAGGAACCTAGATTCCTTGTGAGAGCTGACATGGGGAGAAGTGAAAATAGAAGGCAGTGATGCAAAACTAAGCTGGTTGAATGTCTGAGTTACATGCACGGATTTGACTGGCTTGATGGGGGAGAGGCTGTTGATATAGTTAAAGACTGGAGAATCCTGGGAAAAACACAATGTTAAAAGGCCAAAAATCTTCTTTCAAACATATTTTGATCCAAATCAAATGCTTATCCGACATCCAAAAGACCAAAACATCTGCAACAAAGATGAATTCAAAAGCAGGGGAAGTGGCATATCTATGCTGTAACCCCTATCAAACACCACAACCAGAAGAAGAAAAAAACCAGAAATCAGAAGGCAAAACAAGTTTCAGAAAATAAAAAATGAATTCTACCCAGAGATCTAATTCACATAAAAGTAAACAAATTCACACCCCCAATGAGGCTAAGAACTAATAGAATGGACTTTTATAAAATAAAACCCAGAAATCATAAGGCAAAACAAGTTTCAGGGAAAATGAATTCTACCCAGAGATCTAATTCACATAAAAGTAAACAAATTCACACCCCCAATGAGGCTAAGAACTAAAAGAATGGACTTTCAGGAAACAAAACCCAGCAAGATGAAGAACAACTCTCTCACCGAGACCAAAAACCAAACACATGCAGTGCATAATAAAGAAACCAAAAATAAAAACTAGAAAAAGGGCTTCCCCAGAAAAAGATCAAATAGTTGAAGAAAATTAGTACCTCAAACTTAGAGAGTGAAGAGCTGATCTGGGTCTTTTTGGGGTATCCATCATTTTCAGAGGAAGAAAGAAACCCCTCACTCACTCACTCACTCACTCGCTCACTCTCTCTACTGTTGAAAATTTTACATCCCTTCTCTCTTTCGATCTGCTTTAAATTCCACAAAATTTATGATGCTGCCTGAGATACCAATCCATATTGCTCAAAATCAGCAACGCATTCTGAAAAACGCTCCTGACCATTCCCCAAAACATTTTTATTTTTTAGAAAGGGGGCAGCGGGAATGGAAAAATAGGTGAAGGGGAGAGAAGAAACATGGTTACAAGAAACAAATCAAATAACCAAAAACTAGTCTAAAGTCGAGAGGGAGGAGAGAAGATGAAACATTTTATTTTTTTAGAAAGGGGAGCGGGAATGGAAAAATAGGTGAAGGGGAAAATGAAATTGGGTTAAAGAGGCACCGGATTTAGCAACTTTAAACTTGCGGCGTTTTAAAAAACAAACGCCACTAAAGTACAAGTCTAGCGGCGTTTGTATAAAACGCCACTAATGTACGAGTCTATAGCGGCGTTTGTATAAAAACACCACTAATGTACGAGTCTATAGCGACGTTTGTATAAAAACGCCACTAAAGTACAAGCCTATAGCGGCATTTGTAAACACAAATGCCACAAAATTACGAGTCTATAGCGGTGTTTGTATAAAAACGCTACTAAAGTACAAGTCTATAGCGGCATTTGTATAAAAACGCCACTAAAGTACTACTCTATCGCGGCATTTTGTATAAAAACGATGCTAAAGTTGAGTCTATAGCGGCGTTTGTATAAAAACGCTGCTAAAGTACTACTCTATCGTGGCGTTTTATATAAAAACGCCACTAAAGTACGAGTCTATAGCGACGTTTTTATAAAAACGCCGCTAAAGTTACTATTTTGTGGCGTTTGAAATGTAAACGCCGCTATATGTTTAAAGTTAGTGGCGTTTACTCTTAAAACGCCGCTAAAAATGCCGTTGTAGAACATTTTTGTTGTAGTGCCTCTATTTTAAATGATTTTCTTTTTAATGATCTAAGGTTTGATCGAAAAGAATTTGAACCACACAACTCTAATAATAGTGTGAATCTAGAGGTTGCATCTAAAAGAGATGTCTTTACTGGACAAATCGTTAAATAATTATGGACATCTAGAGAAAATGCAAACTCAAGCGATTTAAGTGATTTTTTCCTAATCATCTCGAACCCGATCAAAAAGAATTTGAGTCATATAACTCTAACAATAATATTAATTTAGAGGTTGGAATCAACTTCAATCGACAAATGGTTATTGAATTATGGACATAGAGAGAAGATACCAACTCAACGCCATCTAAGAAGGTAAAAGTAGGCCAAATGAAGGGTAAAAATAAAATCATAAAACACGAGACAATTTAGGAGCAGTTTACTTGAGAGTGAGGGAAAATTTTGTAGGGATTGGGCATTGACTTTGTGAATCGTAGAAAACAAAAGGTGAGTAAGGTGAAAGACACATTTGTCTTTGACTTATCGGAGTGGGCTTAGGTTTGGCTGCTAACTGCAACAAAGGTGGGCGTAGGTTGTCTTGTATTGTATGATACAATGAGACCAAATCCATGTTTACGTTTTCTCAAAAGTCAATGCTTTCAGTTAGCCTGTAATTTAGAGACACTTGTAATACGATTTAAGAGCCCTGTTTGTGGTCAAAAGCTTAGAAAAACAATTCACGTGTGGAGAAAAATGGAGTAGTTTGACATGTCCCCTTTCTCTCCAACTCCAACCCGTGTAGAATCAATCCCATAGTGACGCTGCAACAAACAACATAAGATGTTTAAAATACTGAACAATGAAATTCGTTAAAACATTTTGGCATGTCTTTCTAGTCCTTCTTTCAGGGCTGGCGTTGAACTTTTTTCTTCTTGGTGGTTAAGAAATAATGGTGAGACTTAGAGAGACAAGTGGCTCAAGCGAAGGTTTCTTTTAGGATTAATAATGTGACTGATACATGTATTATATTGAATGATTTTTTTTGGAACATAAGGGGTCTTAATAATCCCCTCAAGCAAGCTAAAGTGATGAAAAGGCTTGATAAATTGAATGTGGAGGTTATTTGTGTTAAAAATCAACCCCAACCCATTACAAAGCATAACCTACCCAAATAAATTTGATGTCATTGCTTACATCAATTTAATGGAGTAGGTAAAGTAGTTGGTAATAATGTATGACTATGAATATTTCTCAATTTAATATTTATATGGTGTAGGTTGCATGGTGAGGACTATAAATACCCCTTGTATTTGAGTTATGCATCATCAAAAAATTTGAGTGTAGTGCCTTGAGTATAAGTTGTGAGCTTTCTATTGAGTGTTTATTTCTCTTCAAATTGTGAGTGGTCTTTAGAAAGTGTTGTAGTGTCTTTTATTGTGCGTATAATACAAGTAATATGTTTACTTGTTTGGATCCAATATTAGTAAGTTTAGAGTTATATACTCTAAATTTTACTCAACAATTGATATCAGAGCCAGGTTATAAGGTCTCTTGAAATTCCGAGTATACTCTGTGGCTGCAATTTTAACTGATCTTCCACATCAGAAAATATTTCTTGAGATTATTATCAAGGTTATTAAAAACTTGGTGGAGCTTCTTTGTGTTTAGAGTAATTTAGTACTCTGCACATTTGCCAGTCAAGCTTGTTCGGTGTAGTCAAAGCCTTGTCGTTAAGATGGGTGACCTTCAAGTAGTTGGAGGAATCAAGAAGGTCAACAACAAAAACTACAACACATGGGCAACATGTATGGAGTCATACTTACAAGGTGAGGACCTTTGGGAGGTTTTCGGTGGTTGTGAAGTTACACAACCGGCGGTAGAAGATGGCAATGGCATCTTGCGAAAGTAGAAAATTAAAGCAGGTAAAGCGATGATTGCTTTAAAGACCACAATGAAGAAGAAATATTAGAGTATATCTGGGATGCTAAAACACCAAAGGAAGCATGGGACACTTTTGTTACACTCTTTTCAAAGAATAATGATACAAGATTGTAACTTCTCGAGAATGAGTTACTATCGATGGCGCAATGCGACATGACGATTTCTTAATCTTTCACAAGGTAAAGTCGATATGCCGTGAAATTTCAGAGTTAGATCTGACAACTCCTATTGGGGAAACCAGGGTAAAGAGAATAATAATCCATAGTTTGAGACCCGTATATCGAGGGTTTGTTTCCGCTATACAAGGATGGCCGACACAACCATCGCTTATTGAAAGAAGCCATGGCCAAGCAAATGGGAGGAGTCTCGTTGAAGGGTGAAGAGGAAGCGTTCTACACCAGAAAAAACAGAGGTACTTTTCAGCGGTATACTGGCAGTGGATCTAAAAAAGATGAAGACAAGGTGAAAATTATCAAAGAAATGGAGGCTCTCATTCAAGGGGAGCTTCCAAGAATCACGATAATAGTAGAAAGTTCGATGGAAAGTGTTATAACTGCGGGAAGATAGGCCACATGGCAAAAGACTGTTAGACCAAGAAAAAGCTTGTTAAAGTAATATTGCTACTTCCAGCTAGAAGGAGAATAGTGAAGATAGTTAGGATGCTAAAGCATTATTCGCCATGGAGGAAGAAGAATTAGCTCTCATGGTAACAACACCAGAACGGATTGACTACAAGAATGATTGGATCGTAGATTTGGATTCCTCAAATCATATGACGGGTGACAAACAGAAGTTGCAAAACCTGTCTGAGTACAAGGGAGGTCGTGTGGTGGTGACAGCTGGCAACTCAAGGTTATCGATAACCCACATCGGTAAGACGATAGTTACGACTCGATATAATTCTAACCAGATGCAACTTCAAGATGTTTACCACATCCCAGGAATGAAGAAAAATTTGTTATATGTGGCTCAATTGACATCATCAGGCCATTATGTCTTATTTGGTCCCCAAGACGTGAAAATTTATCATGACCTCAAAATCTCATAAACACCGACAATAGAGGGGCGACGTATGGAGTCAATCCACGTAATGTCAGTAGAGTATGCATATGTAGATAAGACAAGAAAAAAATGAGACATCAGATCTATGGCACATGCGGTTAGGTCACGTTAGTTATTCCAAGCTAAGTGTAATGGTGAAGAAGTCGATGCTTAAGGGTCTTCCTCAACTAGACGTGAGAATAGACACAGTCTGTGCAGGATTCCAGTATGGTAAAGCACATTAATTACCATATGAGTTTAAAGTAAAAGAACCGTTAGATTTAGTTCACTCTGATGTGTTCGAACCGGTTAAACAACAATTAATTAGAGCTATGTGGTACATGGTAACATTCATTAATGACTTCTCCAGGTATGTGTGGGTTTTCTTTATGAAAGAAAAATCTGACACATTCTCAAAGTTTAAAGAGTTCAGAGAGTTAGCTGAAGGAGAAGTGGGAAAAAAGATATGCTACTTGCGCACAGACAACGGAGGAGAATATAGCTCAAACGAGTTCTCTCAATACCTAAGGGAATGTCAAATACGTCATCAGTACACTTGTGCCAACACGCCACAACATAATAGTGTAGCGGAAAGAAAAAACCGACATATTGCAGAAATTTATCGAAGTATGCTACATGCAAAGAACGCACCTGGAAGGTTTTGGGCTGAAACAATGAGGACTGCAGCCTTTGTGATCAACAGACTTCCTCAACCAAGGTTAGGATTTGTTTCACCATTTGAGAAACTATGGAAAATGAAACCTACAATTAGCTACTTTCAAGTATTTGGTTGTGTATGTTATGTGTTTGTTCCTGATAATTTATGGAGCAAGTTTGACAAGAAAGCTGTTAGATATATCTTTGTAGGATACGACAGCCATAGAAATGGGTGAAAATATTGTGATCCAATGAGTAGAAGATGCTACACATCACGAAATGTGGTGTTTGATGAAGCATCTTCTTGGTGGTCCTTAGAGAATGAGGTGTTGCCAGACTCGAGAGAATTTGGAGACAATCTACAACAAAATATGTGAAAGTATAATGTTCAACTCCAAACAAGTTCAGATGAATCAGGAGATCCAAATGGTAATGATATCAAACAAATATTGACTTAGA